AACTAATTTTAACGTTTTCTAGCGTTGCAACGTATTTTGGTATATTTTGCCTTGTAAATAGTGACCTATATAGTGCACCAACTCCATAAAACTTGTCTCGATATCTAACCAGGACAAACATCTGGTACATGTATGCCTATCGCCTGACCTGGAATCCGGCCCCACTATTTTTTGAAAACGGGACCTCGAAATGGAAGTATACAATTGAATTTTAACGTTTATCGGATCATTTATTTATGTTACATCTTTATATATTTAGCGATAGTCGGATAGTCGGTCCTAAATAATAGCTCTCTCTACAGTTTACTCTAAGAGTAGAAAAATAAATAGAGGACAAATAGTTAATATGTACATAAACCCTCTCTCTGGAGTCTGGGGTCTGGGCCTCTGGCTGTGACGGGCCTGTACAGTGCGCAACTGCACACAGGAAGGGGGAGTGCAGACTGCAGCTCAGGCCTGAAGAAAGAAGATGAAATGCTCTTAATAAATAAGAATATGTAAATACTAAATGTACTGAACTACACTACTGATGGGAACCCAGGGCCAGATGGCGGGCCTGGCCGCCAGCCGGCTGGCCCTGACCTTCTTGAAGACTGGAGCAGCTACTGCGCTAGGATATATATGTATATGTATATATATATATAAACATATATTGCGTATATAGTTATATTGATTGTGAGGTATATTATTATACTTTTTATTATCCAAAAGAAGCATTTGTACCCAGAATGTAGTAGCATAATATGTTACCCATCATATCAATTTTTGGAGTATTCGCCGCTTTCACTATGTTTCAATGCTTCTTTAAACGCTCGCGACATATAATCATATTGTAAACAATTTGTTTATTGCAGATCAGCAAGCATGTTAATGAGCGTAGTTTTATGAGTACCGCTCGCGGAGGCTAAATGGTAATTGTTATTGCATTTCGACGCAGGGTCCACGAGCATCTCGTCAATTTTGAATTTCATAAGTTCTAGATAAATTTCTATGCCAGGAGTGTCTTTGATATGCAATGATGCTGATCTATCATACTCTTGTGGCCCGTACGTCTGTACTTCAGCGATGGATGTATTGATGCGTACTTTGGTACCCTTCGCAGGCTGTGATCTAGTATTGTTGCTTATGAGCGAGTCATGTGATAGTATACTGACATGTGTAGTCGACTCACTATTTTTCTTCAGTCTCGGATAAATTTGAGGCGTCGCTATACCCTCGTCAAAGACGAAACGATCTGGAACTAACGGCCTACTGGCTGCTACCGGTCTTTCTTTCTCGAGTGAAGTATTCCTACTTGCTGATTTCTCCAACTGCGTGACGGGTCTCCGTTGTATCTTGAACGAATCTACAGGAATATCAGCACCACTGTGGTCACTACTTGTAGATACCCCGGTGAAGCTTCTACTTCGTAGGACGTTGGATCTAGCAATTGGCCTTAGTGTCATTGGCGCAGAGGCTCGCGTCGAACAATTAACATCCGTTTGAGTGCGCTGCGGGGATTGTATCGAGTCTAAGCGAAAATGATCAATCGAGCATAGGGAGCCACCTAATGACGATGAATTGTACATATTCGGCTTCGCGTGACTATCTAATAATGATGAGGAGCTATACGCCTTAAGTAAATGTATCTCTGCTTGTGTGGAAATCGCGGTAGCTTTCGGATTCCTAAAGCTTCTACTTCGTAGGACGTTGGATCTAGCAATTGGCCTTAGTGTCATTGGCGCAGAGGCTCGCGTCGAACGATTAACATCCGTTCGAGTGCGCTGCGGGGATTGTATCGAGTCTATGCGAAAATGATCAATCGAGCATAGGGAGCCACCTAATGACGATGAATTGTACATATTCGGCTTCGCGTGACTACCTAATAATGATGAGGAGCTATACGCCTTAAGTAAATGTATCTCTGCTTGTGTGGAAATCGCGGTAGCTTTCGGCTTCCTATCCTCCCCTGAGAGTTTTACGATATAGACCTGCTCACCTTTCGTCGCGTAGGGACTCTCCTTGCAGACTCTGTCGTGCTTGCTGACTTTAGTCGTTACGTTCTTAACTTTCTTTGCCTCTATTCCATTTTGAACCCATGATGGCTCCACAGTTTTCGCTGATGTCACAGTTTGATTTATAAAGGAATTCGTCGTCTTAGTCGGGGTAGAGGACTTCTTTTCTAAGGGCAACTTCACGTATAAACTCTTGCTGCGAATTCTGTCTCGGAAACTTTTCCTACGATTTTTGTCCAATAGTACTTCTTTTGGCAAGCTCTCTATAACTTTCAGAGTGCTATCGCTATCTATCATCGTTTCTTCAAGCGTATGCGGCTGACCAGACACCTTCTCCCTACTTGCATGAATTGATCGCCCACGCCGTCCTTTCAAGCTGATTCTTCGTGTGCTTGATGATCGTTTCTGCTGGGACTCTGAGGTAGAGCCACGATCTGGGGTGAATTGCCTAATAAATTGTTGCAACATGCTAGTGCGCGCGTCATCAACTCTCCTGCCACTCTTCACTTTCTCGGGGATACTACGTCCAACTGGATCAACGCCAACTGGTACTTGCACATCTTTGGACTTGCTATTAAAAGCGCGACGTATACTTGTCATTCTATCAGAGAGCAACATTGTATTCAGCTACAAGTGAGTTCACTAGCAGCAACTTTATGCTTGTTTAGGAATGTGATTGTGCGGTTGTCAATATTTCACTACCAGACTAAATATAAAAATATCTGCAGGAACACCATAAATACCTATTTAAAAAATATTAATATTGTTTTGTTAATATTTAGTTTGTTTGCTTTTTGTTTTTTTTTTTGGATATATAAAAAAAAACCAGCCAAAAAGACCCCAAAAAAGAAAAGGATTTATCATATTTGAGCCCTTTATTTATAAATATATTATTTTGGCTTTGATTTGTTTTTTATAAAAATGCTTGAAATGTCATCACTCATCACTCACCAGTGCTCAGACGTGTATTTAGTCTAAACGTAGTATTTTTTTTTATAAATGTTGTATATTTATTTACACATAGATTATACTGAAATACTCACTTGTGAAATTCCCTGGGCCCTGGGGCCTGGGGTTTATTTACATTGCTTTTGTTTTGTGAAAAAATATAAATACAGCATAATAAAGAGCATAAATTTATCTTATATGTGTAAATACATCAAAGACTATTGTTTTTTTTGTTTTTTTTAGAAACCAAAACCAAAACCAAAATTCTTGTTCGAAATATCAGCCGTGCTGCCCGCTGCCGCCCTGCCCTCTATTTCTGTAATGAAAAATACACCCTTCTTACTTGCAGTTACCACTTACCACTACACTCTACTTCGGTGTCTGGACTCTGACTCCTTACTCTCTCTACTACTTTCGTAGTAGTAGAGAGAGAGAGGCTGGTGCCTGGAGATCACACCCGCCTGTCCCCCACGGCCACGGATTCAATACTTCATATCATATTAGTTTTTAAAAAAACAAAAAACATAATATGTAAAGTTGACTAATTTTAATGTTTAACGGATTGTTTTCTTGCGTTGCAACGTATTTTGGTATATTTTGCCTTGTAAATAGTGAACTAAATAGTGCACCTACTCCATAAAACTTGGTCTCGAAATCTAACCAGGACAAAAATCTGGTACGTGTATGCCTATCGCCTGACCTGGAATCCGGCCCCACTATTGTTTAAAAACGGGACCTCGAAATGGAAGTATACAATTGATTTTTAACGTTTAGCGGATCATTTATTTATGTTACAACTTTATATATTTAGCGATAGTCGGACAGTCGGTCCTAAATAATAGCTCTCTCTACAGTCTACTCTAAGAGTAGAATAATAATTAGAGGACAAATAGTTAATATGTACATAAACCCTCTCTCTGGAGTCTGGGCTCTGGGCCTCTGGCTGTGACGGGCCTGCACAGTGCGCAACTGCACACAGGAAGGGGGAGTGCAGACTGCAGCCCAGACCTGAAGAAAGAAGATGAATTGCTCTTAATAAATAAAAATATGTAAATACTAAATGTACTGAACTACACGGTTGGCCCTGACCTTCTTGAAGACTGGGGCAGCTACAGTGCTATCCTGCCACTCCGTCACTCTCTGATGACTATTAAACTCTTATCAGCGAGCAGACGACATTATAATTTCAACATGGTAAACGACATAATTGAATTTATTCACGATATTCCAGAATGGTGTATCAAAAACTTTAAAACGAGTCTGAAACTCATAATATCCATTTAAAGTGGGAGTTTGTGACTGTACGCGATAGGTTTACGACCAGCTCGAAACGTTTGGCATCTCATCCACTTTCCAATTCGTCGGAAACGGCTACCAGGTCAGATATAAAAAAATATCTTCAGTACTCCAATTGACTCCACCATCCTTACCTGTGTGACAGGTTGTGTGATTGGCTGATTGCCTTCTACTTTGGAATTTGGATTGTGTGACATCACTGGCCAGAGTCTGACTGTGCCATCTGTCATGTGTGTCGCCCTAATTTTTATATGCGTTTTAATTTTTTATTCACAATATGCATAGCTGTTTATCTTTTATTGTCTTTTGTTTTTTTATACTTTTTAAACATTGTTTTAAAAAAAACTATAAAAGAAACAAAAAGTAGTTTGTAGTGTGAGGGTGTCGTGTAGACAAAGTCGCTTTGTGGAACAAATCTGCTCAGTGCAGTCACTCACTGCACCTGTGCGGCGAGCGAGAGCCTGAACAAATAGGTGTGAATCAAAAATTCAGAATGTACTGTGATTTGTCATTTGTGAAGTGTGAAGTGTGAACTGTGAACTGTGAAGTGTGAAATCAGAAATGTCAAATGTGAACAATAACAGTAAACACTGAACACTGAACTTCTTCTCTCCTCTCTTTTTCTGTGAAGTGTGGAACTGGTCACTAGTCACTACTGGTGCCTCTGCTGGTGGTTGGGTGTTCTGCAGACTGAACACTGAAAGAGTGAAAACTGAAAACTGGCCCGACACACGACAGGGCCTGGGGCCCTGGGCCACCCTGGGGGGTGGACAGTGTGGATAACTGGAGACTGCTCATCTCTACAACTCTACTACTAGTAGTAGTACATGCTGAGTTGCTGAGTTATGCTATCTGCTAAAATAGTCGACAGACGACAGTCACAGTCACACTCAAGACTGTCAACAGAACACTCAACAGTCAACAGTCAACACTGAACTCTCTCTCTGAACAGTGAACAGTGAACACTCAATATTAAATAGCGGTCACTGGTCATCAGTGGTCAACTGGTCAGTTCAGTGACCAGTGACCACACAACAAGTGGAGAGTGACGACTGAAGTCTGAAGAGTAAAGGCTTATCACTGAAGAGTGAAAAGTTAAGATACTCTATTAGGGAGTATAGACACTAGCCCTCTAGGCTCCTAGCGGTCTAGCCCTCTCTCTGGTAGTAGTAGGAGAGAGAGGGTATGTACATACAAAGCTCTTAAAAAAAGAGCTCGTGTAGGCCGTTGGTATAAAAATAAAATGAAATAAAAAATATTTGTTGTAAACAATATATAAATCTTGGATGTCAGCGGGCCAGCCTGTCAGTGGCTGTCACAGGGACTCGATGACTATCTCACTCTGACTCAGTCACTCAGCCCTCAGGTGACAGGTTTGTTTCTCAGTCTCAGGCTCTCAGCCACGCAGAACCAGGCAGGGGATTAGCTGTTAGTATCATTCAGCCGTGCCAGTCTCTTTTGTGTTTCTTTCTCTCTCACACTAATCTCTCTGGAGTGATCAAAACAATTGACCTGGTTTTCGACAGTGTTTTTTTAATTTACTACGTGTTCAACATCATGTGTATAATACATACATAAAATACTACATATTTTGATCTAGTGGTTTAATACAGGTTTACAACATTGCAAAACTTTTCTTTTCTAGACCAATCAGAGGTACAAAATGTCAACATTTCACAATACACCAATGAATATTGGATCTATATATATGTTTGAAACGTGTTGTAAACGTGCTGTAAATCCATATAGAGCAATATACATAGTATAAAACATAATATATATTAAAACATGTTTTTTACTCATTTAGTATCCAAACGTTTTTGATATGTATAATACATCGAAAACTTTACTTTTATGCGATGCATGTTCTTTATCAAAACCAGATCAGCAAAACAAGCCCAAGGGCTACAGCCCGTACAGGCCTACGCCCCACAGTCTAACCTCATTAAAAGTAAGGCATTGTAGAAATAATAGTACAACGTTTTACGTATACCTTTTGATTTTTAAACGTTGCAACGTTTTTTGCAAATATATTGGCGTGAAATAATTTGATTTTTCGACCTCCTAGAGAAGAAAGAAGGTATGGCTGAACGGACCACCGTCCGTGGGACTTTGGCGGGTAAAAATAGGTCCAACCATATGACCTGGAGAATGACCCTATATATATTCAGGACTACTCTATGGATATAAAAGTACAATGTTTTACATATACTTAACTTTTAGGACGGTCAGCCCAAGGGTGGCTGAGAACCCCTCTCTTAGAGGTACCCTCTATCTTACCTTAGTTTACTATCTCTCACCTACCAAACTACTATATATTACCTTGAGCCCGGGATGCCCACCTGCCTGTTTTTAAAAGAGGGGAGAAAGGATTATAAGTTATAATAGTGGCTTTATAGTACGACCATCCGATAATACTAGTAGGTAACATACCTCCTCCTACACGCTTTCGAGAGAGAGCCTACACCTCCTCCGGTATCCTACCCCTACGGGGTAACCATATTCCCAAATTTATAGAATACAGACAGACACCTGCCCCAATTACCATATAAATGTGATTTTACCGGTACTTTTCTACAATTGAATTACATCCCGGTTAGGGGTGGTGGTGTCTGAACTCTCCAGAGAGGCAATACTTGGGCTGGTGTACATTTGAAATATAAACGTTGCAACGTAAAACTATGAAGTTAGCCTACAGTACATACTAAATACTTTTTTTTTAAAATACATACATATTATAGTACGGATGCCTTTGATATTTTTGAATAGGTTTCGTTGAAAAAAAAGGTATGATGCTTGACCCAAAAAAATAAACAACAATACTCAATAGGGATAAAAAAACTCCGAAGAGTAAAGTAATAGTGCTTGTGTCTACTCACTCCTACTCTACGCATATAAATATTTCAGAAAGACATCTTTGTACAGTTGTACCTTGATCATAGTTTTTGAAAACAAATTGTATTTATAAACACACATGAACCATTGCCATTCAGCCATTGTCGACAAATGTCAATAGTTATTTTTATTTTGAAAAAATGGTAAAGGGTTGTATTTTAAAAAAAACTGGACGAATGTAAGCCGTCGTACATAAGGAACTAGTCAAGGCCAGTCAATTCAAAAAAAACCCATGTATCGACTTCGAGTGCCTATCTACTTCGGGTTGGCTGTTGTCTGTTTGTTTAAAATTTGTATATTTATATTATTTATGAACCGATAAACTCTTGTCTCGTAGCCAATAATGTTTTTGACCGGAAGACGGAATACACAATATTCCAATGAGATAATTCATTTGGTGTATCAGTGTACGACTGTATGTACTATGTATGTAGTATTTACTCAGTGCTGTGATCAGTATT